ACTTTTGAGTGTAGTTTCACAATTTCACCCGCAAGTTGGCGGTGGAGTTAAGTCATTACTAAAAATCTAATTTATTATCCACTTTGGCTAATATTCAAAATATGTATTGGCAATACTATTGCCACAAAAGGCCGCCAAGTGGCGCTGGAGTCATTACGAATAATCGCCAAGTTAGAAAAGGTGCCGTGGATGTCAGATTAAATCGACCTGTTGCACCAATGATATATCGAACTCTTGTCTGTTACAATTGGCCCAATGGATGTGATTTGCCAGTATTATTATGCGTTAAAGCTTCATCCCGAGACACCAGGGCTGTGTTGTGCAGGGGTAAATCTCAAATCGCGACCNTCGAACTCTTGTCTGTTACAATTGGCCCAATGGATGTGATTTGCCAGTATTATTATGCGTTAAAGCTTCATCCCGAGACACCAGGGCTGTGTTGTGCAGGGGTAAATCTCAAATCGCGACCGATAAATCAACCGCCAGAACCATTGCGCGCCTTTTACTGTAATATTTAATTTGGAGTAATTGAATTTACTTTTTAAAAAGGTGGCAACCCTTGCAAAAGACTTAAATATTATTCAAAACTTTTAAACTAAAAGTTTCTTTACAATATTTCGTTAGACAACCATATATTAATTCTTGAGATAGCTTGCGTATAATTAATTTAAATTTGACTTTTCAAACAGGTGGCAACCCTTTTCAAAATATATTCAACCTACAGCTTTTTTAAGCCTCTTGACATCCATTTTTTAATATAATTTTCGAATAAATAACTCCCCAAATTACAGTTGAATTTTATTTTTTTTAAAGGTGGCAGCTCTAATCCATGAGTAGATAATGATTCTATATATCTCCATACCAAGTTCCAGTAATCTATCAAAAATATTTCCTGAGAAATGCGGTATGAAATATTCCGTTTGTATGGGAGGTGCCACGCCCCCTTGTCTAATCGAGATTAAATTTATCCTATATTTTAAGTTGGGCTAAATGACAGCAGTGTACATTTCATGATGATCGGTTGAGTAGTTAAAGCGTGAAAGCGTAACAAACAAACAAACTCATTTTCGGATTTATAATATTATAATAATAATAATATAATATATAATATATATAATAATAATATAAATATATATTAAGTAAGGATTTAAAATTTTCAAGATGAAAAAAAATAATATTAGGACGGTTGTATGTCCTCTCCCTATGTTTTAAAAATCATCGCATTCCAATTTGTATTTTCAGAGAAAATAATAAATTCCGTACTATGGGCGCGTTTCTAACACACGTTTCTAACTGTTTGCCTCAACTGTAGCTGAAATGCTGTCAAGTGTTTGAGTTCAACAGTTACGTCTTAGAAACGGGATGATGCATTAACTGCCAAAACATTTGTAAACAAGTAAAATTAAATAAAACACCACAAAAAAAAAATTAAGCTAAAAATATGGATAGCACAGGATTTATAATGGAGTTTTTCTGATTTTATTTTTAATATATGTATTTGTACGTGCATTTTATTTTATTAACAGCAAGTTTCGCCAGCAATTTACAGACAAATTATTTTTTTATTTGCATTTTCTATGAAAACTGACGGAAGGGAAACATCATTTTTGACTTATATAAATTGTTGACTTCATGTAGCGAAATAATTTTATGATGGAAAAAATGTCGTAAAGTTGCCAACCGTTGAGCTGAGCGGAACAACTCAACTGTGCGTTTCTGAAACAAACACTCAACAGTTGAGCAACAGCTACGTCTTAGACTGCTTTTACACAGTTCAAGTATTGAATTCAATTCTGCTCGCATGTGGGAGAGAGGGGTGAGAAGAAAAGGGACGAGTACACATGCGTCTGTACCGTCAAGTCGTTTCAACTTTCTTGCTTTGCTTTTGGCATTTTCGTTGCTTCCCATTTAAAGAACCAAAAACTTGAATTCAACAGAATTGAAACGTGTAAAAGAAAGAAGAAAACACAAAAGAGAATGAGTACTTGAATCATGTAAATCGGGTGTTAGAAACGCGCCCATCGTAAAAAAATTCAAATGCTCACAAAAAGTCTAAATTTAAAAATTTGTCAATGAAATTTACGGAGTGTATTTCAGGTGAGTGTAATTACATTTGAACGAAAAATCACCTCGAAATTCGAACGACGGTAAATTTGTGACCCACTTGAGATGGCCTTGCTCATGAAACAGTAGCTTATGTCGAGAGACTGGCTTTAGTATAATGTAGCATTCCCTATATTCTTTAAACTACAAGGAATTTTTTAATCAGACTTATATAATATATATAATATTGACTTGCTAGCATCGGAACTGCTTCTTTCACGTTTATTTGCCAACAGTTCTTCAACGGCTCGGCGCCAGTGACTCATTCGCAAACGTATGCTGCGAATGGTTCATAATACTAAAGCCAGCCTTACGACATAAAATACTATTCTATACGAACACAGATACTATTTATACTTCCTAATAGCTTGCAAAATTCCCAATACCCAAATCCCTCATATGAGTTATTATCGATAAAAGTTTGGGTATACTAACGTCTGGCATCATTATTCTACTGTCTTCGTTTTCTCGTTCCGATAACTTTCTCTTTCCCGCTTGCCTAGACCGCTGTGCACATCTTGCACGCGCAGTCGCCCGCGACACATACATATGCGCAGTTTTAGGCTACACGTTGTAGCAAAGACCTTTACATTGCCAGAACGCTGTTAAGGCTTCCATTGCTTAGACTTCCATAAAAGTTTAAAAGGTGTTCGCACGAACCGATTTGAGTTCAACTTTCGCTTTCAACTCACGCAGGGTTGCACGCAAAAAAGTTGAATGGCTAAATGTTGGCTGGCGACCAACTTTGTTGAAAGCGATTAGTTGAAAGGCCGTTCAGCCAAAAGTAGAATGCAAAGTTGAACAATGTATGGTGGGTTTTGTCGAAGGCTGAGATATGCTCAGCCGCTCCAGAGTCCAGCGAAGGTCCCACTAACCCCCACCAAATAAAACACAATGGCCCGTAGTCATACTCAAAATAAAGTCGACTTTAAAGTTAGTTGCAGCTTTTTTGACAGATATCCCATTGAAAATTATGTCAAAAAGCTGCAACTAACTTTAAAGTCGACTTTATTTTGACTATGACTATGGGCCAATGATTTGTGTATTAAGTCGAACACACCCACACACACACGCGGCTATCTAGAAGGCCGGCAACTTGTCGTGCTGGGGAGAGCGGAAGGTAAGGGGGAGAGTCGGCGGTCGGTGTCGGAGATTATTCGGCGGGTAATTGTACGGCGACGGGAGTGCTACTAGTGACAGCAAGATTGGCAGTGGTACGCGTCAGTCGTAGCGAAGAGCGTGGAAATGAGAGCAGTCGCGGTGGTTGTGACGGCGACGGCAATGGCTGCGACAGCAGCCTTCAGTTCTCTTGCAGTGGTGGTGGCGGCCTTAACGGTGACGTTGGCAGTGGCCCATATAATGCTGAGAGCGGCAGCGACCTCCCGCAGTGGTGTTGTATGCCCTATTTAACTACGACGGTAACAGCGGTACTGGGCGACGATGGTTGACGTTCGCAGTGGCGATTATCGTACTCGTGACGGGTAGTAGAGGCAGCCTGGGGCGANTCCCGCAGTGGTGTTGTATGCCCTATTTAACTACGACGGTAACAGCGGTACTGGGCGACGATGGTTGACGTTCGCAGTGGCGATTATCGTACTCGTGACGGGTAGTAGAGGCAGCCTGGGGCGATGATAATGGCGGCGGCCCCAGTGATGAAGACAGTAGCAGCGGGTCCTGATGGTGGCAGCGGTGACAGCGGCCCTGGTTGGCGATAGTTAGCGTTTGCAGTCCTCGGTGATGATGGCGGGCGGCCCACGGTTGTAGCTTCGGCCTTGGGGCGGCAGTGGTAATAGCGGCCCCGGTAATGAGAGCAGCGGTACGGGCCCTAGCGGTGATTATTGCGGCGGCCCTGGATGACAGTGAGTACAAATATCCGTCCCCGGTAAAGCTTGCGGGCGGTCCTCGGTTGCCCAGCCCCGCCGTATGTATTCGTGGCAGCTAGGTGCTGCAGGGCGGTGCTTCGCCCCCTGCAGCGCCCGCTATCCGCGCGGTATCTCAAGCAGGCAGGGTTGCTCGAAATTGGTCAAGCCCAAACGGACCACGCCCCTTGTCTGCTTGAGACCGTATCCAAAAATGGGTCTAGCCCATAATTAGTGATAGAACGATACGAGTACCGAGTACAGTATCGAAAAAG